AAGTACTTGTTTGACGATCAGATACAAATGTCAATCATTTTAATGTTAAAAAATCATATTCCTGACATGGTTATATTCCAGCTATATTACTCTAAACAAAACTATATATCTTAAATTTAATAACTAACTGGGACTGTGCCATGCATGGCTTGTTTTTTCTCATTTGCTTCGATATAGGATTTAAAACTTTACATATTGAATTGAGCAAAAGTTTTACTCAGTAACTCGTTTTTTAAAAGAACATTCATTCTTTGATTGAAATAAACCAGTGTTGATTTTTGTCAGAAAAATCTTCATTCATAATGCAATCAGGATGTGAATGATGTATTTTGATTATAAATATCTTACTGTTATAATTTGTACTTTATTTTTATTCAGTTTTTATCGTTATGTACTGGAACCAGAAGTTGGCTTTAGACCTGATGGCAGGTTAGTTACATATACCGGTATATTAAAGCAGCAATAGCTGTAACAGTACATCTTTTTTCTTCAATTTTTATTTTTAATAAAACATTTCCTGTGTCATTAGTATTAATTTGTGGTGGTCATCACCAAAATGTGGAAACTGAAAGCAAAGTATTTATGCTATATTCTGACGTTGTAAATCACTAGCAAGTGAAAAAAGATGGCTGCTGGTTTGTGTCCAGGTCTTCAGAGGGTGCCATCTGTTGAAATCCAGTTTTGTCAATTGAACCTCTGAGATTACATTACAAGGTGACAATTTACGGGGGGTGGGGGTGGGGGGTGATATCATGTCAAATACGTTTCTCACTGATGATTGTATGTTTCACTTCTCATAATAGTGTGTGTCGTGCATAAACATTTTCTACAATTACCATTACATGACCATTTTCAACTATGGTACCTGGTTATAGCTTTGTGATATAGCCTTGTATAGGGTCATCACATTCTCTGATGGCACATGTTTTCATGAAGACTGTGTGAATGAAAAGTAATGTACATTTTTACCTGTCCTTGAAGGTATACATGTAGTAAACTTTAATAAAGAGATTAAGTTAACTAATATTTCACTAAAAACTCACTAACATTTTTTAGTCATCTTGTGAGAATTGTATTTGCATCATTCTAAATGCATTTAAGTAACTGTGCCTTTAAATGCATTTAAGACCAACACTTACTGGTATATCAATAAAGATGTTTCTATGTATAAGAGATAATCTACCACTAAATATTAGACAAGAGTTAGAGTAATTAGACAAATTCTAGTATTAATTGCTGACAGTTTGAAGGTAGCCATTGTCAGGCTAGTAACAGTAAACTGATAATAATACTGTGTTTTGTATTTTAAAGTTTTACAGCTGGTCCCATTGCCAAGTTCAATGATTTGCCACATGATATACTCTTGACTCTTAACATGATGACACCAGAAGGATGGTTAGTAGAGTCTGTCAGATCACCGTATGATTTAGATAACATCAAATTGTCAGAGGTAAGCAATTGTAGTCCATTAAATATACCATGCACATCTATAAAATCACACATATACAGTATTTGCCCTAATAGAATCACACATATACAGTATTTAGTCTATTTGAAGTGCATCTCCAATAGAATCACACATATACAGTATTTAGTCTATTTGAAGTGCATCTCCAATAGAATCACACATATACAGTATTTACTCTTTTAGTAGTGCATCTCCAATAGAATCACACATATACAGTATTTACTCTATTAGGATTGCATCTCCATAGAATCACACATATACAGTATTTTCTCTTTTAATATGCATCTT